ATGCTAACGTTATTAAATCTTGTTTGTCATTGCATTTTCGAAGACACCCGGAATGGTTTTTTCATGACACTTATGTACTCGTAGGCTGCTTGTAAATAATAATGATAATGTAAATGTTGGAGACATACAGAACTATTGATTTTAGGGATTTATTTACCGCTACACACGTAAGTTGTCCACTCACTAGTCGTGAACGTCGTATTCTGTAAACCAGAGCCAGAGCTTGATGTTATAAGGCCAGAATGTCATTATTTGTAATGTGGGGAGTCAGAGAATCTTAATCCTTATTATTTTGTGATAAAAATGAAGGAAATGTAGCGTGGTGTCGAGTTGAGCTTGACTATGAACACCGCTACAGGACTACTTGCCAACAGACCAATAAAATCCCGGTAGGCCAAAATATCAGAAGGCAGATGATTGTAGTAGTCGTATATATTTGTTGGCGATCTCGTGGTATCGAAAGAATACCGAGATCGTGCCAAAGGAGTACAGTTGCGATCGGCAAGATAAGATACGTGCGTAGTCCAAAAACCGCGTAAAAGCAATGGAATACAATGGAAGCCCAAAATGGCTGTTCTTAGCACAGTTAAACAAACGAGCACAGTAAAACAGTCACTGGTACAATTGGTTATAATAATAATTGTTTTCATCGAACCAATCGTGTTCTGTTGACAAAAGTAGGTCACTACAGGAGCCCCCCGCTAGAAAGGGTTTACACTTTCGATAGTTGGCGGTTTGATTCGTGGGACTGATCGGCAGATGTGCGGTTGTAGGACGAAGGAAATTGGCGGAACAGGAAGTGATCATTGATCCTCGAGTTGCCAACGAAAGTCTTTTGCGCAGAACGGTACCAGGAGAAGTGTGCTGTATTTGTTGGTCGAGTTAGCATACCAAACCAGAGTGGTTTGTATCCAGGATCTGATGATTGCGTTCGTATGGATGCGGACGAGAAAACGCTGCAGACGTAGGACGAAACCACGTTGAGCCAAGAAACCGGACGCGACCATAACTACCAAGCGTATGCCAGGCGAATTCGAGACCAGATAATCGACTGAGTGCGTTGACTAGAGCATGGGTGGCCAAACCAGCTTTTGCCAAAGTTGACTGAAGTCGACGTTATCAAATGGACGATGGCTGGAGGCGTGGGCTCAGGATACAAAAAAAAATCAAAAAAAGAAAAGTGTAGCATGCGTGTAGTGTAGGAATGGTCCTACACCGTATCCGTTATTGACTGCGTTTAGTCGCGAAAGCGTGCGGGTAATCGTACTCGGCGACCGGAACGTGAGACGGTGGTCTCGTTCGTACTTCGTGAGCCTGCGATCTCATCCGAGGTCAAGGGCGGCGTGGTCTGCCGATCTGGACGTGAGACGGAAGTCTCGTCCGTAGATGGTGCAGATGACGCGTGCTGTTGACCGGGACGTGAGAACGAGGTCTCTGATGTATCTAGCGTGGGATCCGAGGTAGACGTAGAGATCCCGCTAGAAGGTTTGATAGGTCTAGCATTGAGTCTCAAGTTATCGGGTAGGGCACTGTCATCGACGTGTGCTGGTTTGAGACGATCAATGCTGACGATCTCGACGCGGCCGTGTCGATCAACCTTGAAGGTCTTTTCGTGACGAGAGATCACGTGAAAAGGGCCTTCGTAAGGCTGTTGTAGAGGTTTGCGTACCGAATCTACTCGTATGAAAACATGTGAACAGGTAGATAACTCTCGAGGGAGAGCGACCTGTCGATGTTGTATTCGAGTTGACACCGGAGACAGCGTTCGCATAAATGCAGACAGTCGATGGACGTAGTCTGATTTACCGAAATCATTACTGCTCCGTGGTGTGAAGAATTCCCCAGGCAGACGCAATGTCGTGCCGTATACAAGTTCAGCGGCGGAACATTGAATATCTGCCTTCAAACTCGTTCTGATGCCTAAGAGAACGAGCGGTAAGGTTTCGTACCAATTATCGTTTTCGTGTGCTCGAAGAGCACTTTTAAGTTGACGATGAAACCGTTCGACTAAACCATTCGATGCTGGATGGTAGGCGGTAGTGCGTATGCGTTCCGTACCAAGCAGCCTGGTCAGTGAGGAGAATAATGCGGACTCAAATTGTTGTCCTCGGTCAGTCGTGACAGTCGAGGGACAACCGTACAATGCTATCCATCGTTCTACGAAGCGGTGAGCAACTGTCTCCGCCGTGATAGACGTGATGGGAATAGCTTCGGGCCATCTTGTAAAACGGTCGATACACGTGAGTATGTGATCATACCCATGCGATGGTGGCAATGGTCCTACAATGTCTATATGAACGTGATCAAAGCGAGCATCAGGCGTAGCGAACGTGCCAATGGGGGCAGCTACGTGCCTGTGCACTTTTGATCGTTGACACTGTAAGCATTGCTTTACCCACATACGAACATCTTTATTCATGGACGGCCAGACGTATCGTGCAGCGATGAGACGTAATGTGGCTGCGATACCTGGATGAGACAATCCATGAAGGGCATCGAAGACGAGACGGCGATAGGTAGAGGGTACGATGGGTCGAGGTAGACCGGTAGAAATATCACATAGGATAGTACCTGAGCTAGTAGCCAGGGGTACTTCCTGACACTGAAGGGACGAAGATTGTGGTGCTTCTGTACAGACAGGATCGTTTGCTTGTGTGGCGGCCATAGCAGGAAGATCGAGCACCGGTCAGGTAACTGCATTCGTCTGGATACGTGAAAGAGCATCGGCAACATAGTTCGACTCGCCTTTAATGTGACGAAGGTCTGTCGTGAACTGTGAGATATAGTCCAAATGTCTGCACTCTCGTGGTGAGTAGCGGTCAGACTTGGTATGCAGGGCATACGTTAAGGGCTTATGGTCGGTGAATAAGATGAATTGACGTCCTTCTACTGCGTGCCGGAAATGTTTGATGGCGCAGTAGGCTGCAAGCAGTTCGCGACCAAAAGCGCTATATCTCGTCTCCGTGGGAGTAAGGCGTCGTGAGAAAAATTCAAGGGGTTGCCAACTACCGGAGATATTCTGTTGCATAACGGCTCCTATAGCGAAATCTGATGCATCAACCGCTATACTAAGCGTGGCTGATGGGTCAGGATGAGCGAGAAGTGTAACTTCAGCGAGAGCCGTTTTGATCTCTGAGAATGCAGTACGTGCGGTATCGTTCAGTTCTAATTTGCGTGGATTACCGCGTAGTAAATCGGTTAATGGTCGTAACCGTTCTGCCGCGTGAGGGATAAAACGTTGGTAGAAGTTAACCAAACCGAGAAAAGCCTTCAGTTCCTTGATTGAGGACGGCACGTTGTACTCCTTGATTGCTCGAATTTTGTCCTCGCAAGGCAGAATACCCTCTTGTCTGATGATGTGACCCAGAAATATTATTTCTGATTTACCCAATTCACATTTGTCTGGGTTGACTACTATTCCATTATCCGAAAGACGTTGGAATAATAGCGTAAGGTGTTGATAATGTTCATCTACGTTTGATGATGCGATCAGCAGGTCATCAATATAGACGTGAACAAAATCCAAGTCTCGTACTATGCTATCGATAAACCTTTGGAAAGTTTGAGCAGCATTCCGTAATCCAAATGGCATTCGTAGGAACTCAAACAGACCGAAAGGAGTCGTGATAGCAGTTTTTTCGATGTCTTCAAGAGCGACTGAGATCTGGTGAAATGCTCGTACCAGATCGATTTTAGAAAAGATAGTCGTGCCCTTGAGCGATGCCGTGATGTCGTGTATGTGGGGGATGGGGTAGCTATCAAAGCGCGTAACTACGTTTAATGCTCGGTAGTCGCCGCAAGGTCTCCAACTAACCCCATCCTTTTTGCGCACCATATGTAAAGGAGAGGCCCAAGGACTGTGAGAAGGACGAATAATACCAGAAGATAGTAAATTGTCAAACTCACGTTTAGCGAAAGCTAATTTGTCCGGTGCCAGTCGGCGTGGTCTTGCCGTGACTGGTGGTCCGCGGGTGACTATGTGGTGTACCACACGATTGGTCACCGATGAAATCTCCTCGAATGGTTTAGTTAATCTGGGGAATTTCTCGAATAAGGCGTGGAATTTATCGTCACGCGAATAAAAAGTGCCGAGGATTCGGTACGCGTACATCGGAGTCTATTATATTAATACTATTCTTATCGTTATCCGTCATGTCAAATATATATATTAAAAATTAATATGAAAATATATGACAGACGTGGATAGATAAAACAATAGACTCACCGAATTGCCTTCTTTGAAAGATTTGACCGAGGTTGAGGCGTGTTCCAATAGTTGGCTCACCAAATGTAGCGTGGTGTCGAGTTGAGCTGAACTATGAACACCGCTACAGGACTACTTGCCAACAGACCAATAAAATCCCGGTAGGCCAAAATATCAGAAGGCAGATGATTGTAGTAGTCGTATATATTTGTTGGCGATCTCGTGGTATCGAAAGAATACCGAGATCGTGCCAAAGGAGTACAGTTGCGATCGGCAAGATAAGATACGTGCGTAGTCCAAAAACCGCGTAAAAGCAATGGAATACAATGGAAGCCCAAAATGGCTGTTCTTAGCACAGTTAAACAAACGAGCACAGTAAAACAGTCACTGGTACAATTGGTTATAATAATAATTGTTTTCATCGAACCAATCGTGTTCTGTTGACAAAAGTAGGTCACTACAGATATATATGTACGAAAAAATCAGGAAATACAAAAAGTATCACAGTGAATGGCAAAAATATGCATGGCATTACAACTTGGGAACAAACTGATGATACTTCAGTCGGTGTGCCAGATAACCTCTGGCTAAATGGTGAAAGTGTAACAGGTACAGAGTATTTGTCAAAGCCAATGTCCGAAATCCCCTCTTACACAAAATTCCGTTAGCCAATCAATCGAGATTTTGAGAATGAATGTGTGAAAGGATATAAAGAAGTTAAAACTAGGTGCGATTGCAGCTCAACAATGTTTAGAGTTCGAGGTACACACAACCTTAAAAAGGTTACTGATAGCGCGCAGTTTCGACCTATAACGGTACGGTCGTCACCTCGTTAATTGACATACAGTGGCAATTAGTTGTTTTCTTTCTGGTTAACATGTACGTATCGTCTGCGCTAAGAATATCGGTATTCTCTTAAAACATTTCACGTGTTCCGTGGGTAGTAATCTATTTTTTCATATATTAGCAAGTTATCAGTTCCCCTGAATTTGTGTCCTTACGCCCCCAAGTTTACTTGAGTGAGAATAGTTGTTTGTTTCCAAGTATGTACAAACTACCACGTGATAGTTAACTGATCAAGATTTAGCATCGTGCTTATTCATACACACCACCCTAAAATACCATCATAAAAAGTGCACAATATAAGTTATTATTCCGTGCTTAGTAGCAGAAATCTCGAACTTGTCTATTGTTTGCATGTTATGTTTAAAAATCAATCGTTAGTAAGTACTGGGGGTGACTTTGAAATGAATATCTGCAAATGCGAAATGGGATTTTTAATTAATGTGCAAATTTTCCTTCCGTCCACTAAATATGGAATTCGGGTGTGACTATAATTCATGGATGACCTTTGAGTGACGCTAGACTGACCTTGAGAAGTCCACCTTATAACCGCTACTGAATGAAGATTATAAACCTGTGAGGAATTAGAGTTATGATTTACAATTGAAATTTAGAGTTTTCATCACGAACTGACTTCAGCTATAATGCCAAAAATCTATTTAAATAAATAGATGAGTGATACATGTTATCTTATATGTGATTGGTTCGATTATAAATTATAGTCTCGCCGCTCATCCGTTTGTCGTTTAGCAGGAAATTGAATAAGTCCAGTATGGAAGTTGGTATTAAACGAGTAGTGCCCTTTACGTAACGGCTGTTTCTTAAGGTAACTAATATTAAGCTGTGTTTTGCTAATGATCCAGATCGTTAAACATAGTTTCAAAAGACATTATAGACCCAGACAAGTGTTAGTTTTGTAGATATTATTTCGAAGAGTGGGATTGAAATCCAAAATCCAAAATTTTTTTCGGCTTTGTGTAGCAAATCGACGGCGTTTTCCCAAAATCAATAGAAATGCTGGTTAAATTTTTAGAAAGAAATTCCTGACACAAGGAAATTTTTGTAAATAGATCATGAGTAAATAAAGATTTCTTGATTTTTTATCGAAATTTCGGAGAATTTTCTTACAGTCAAATAAAATTTCGGGCATATTCAGTGTTTATTTTGTGAAGTCACACGCTAATGAGTCAGAGAATTAGGATTTTAAGGCTTAAGTAACGCTAAATCCCTTTTTGGTACTTTACAATGTTAGAATTACGGAACATTTCATTTGATTGGACTATGTATTTTCTTTATTCAAGAAAGATAGCTAACATGTACATCTTAAACTATGCGTTTAGCCTACATAACTCTTGAATGTCTGGAGTTGTAGAACTTCTGCTATGCACCAATCGGCAATGGCAAATAATGCATCTCGTTACAATTAGTTTGTAACTTGGAGAAGCATTTAACCAAGCTTCACTGAGAAATGATTTCTTTTCACTTGTTTTATTAGAAAACTGTCTCCATCCTTTGTAGGCTGTAAATGATCTTTTGCTGAGCGTCTCTGGGCTAAGTGACATTTGATTACAAAATGGATGAAATTAATAGAAGTCTAGTAAATATATCAACAAATGATAATAAAGAACTACCTGTCATGTGGATAAGACAGTTAATTTCAAAGCTTAATATTTCTCCAGCTATTCGAAATGAACCTTTATTTGAAGAAGCTGTCAATGAGTTAGCGTTTTCAAATCTCGAAAACTTGTCGTCCTCAGTGTATCAGTTACGGACCGTTCGCGATGTTCTAAAAAACAAGATTAAATCGTTGGCTGCAGAAAATTACCACATTTTTATAGATACCAAAGATGCGAGTCAGAATATCTTGGAGAAGACTTCAGAAATGTCAACCGCCAATCAAGCTTTTCTATCACAAATTACTGAGTTTACACAATGCTGTAGTGATATCCTATTAAGGGCTCGTTTAACTGAAGTCTCTCTTCAAAAGAATAGAAGTGCTTTAGAAAATCATACACAGGTAAACCTTTTTTCCATTTTTATTGTCATTGATCATCAAGTTACTGGAAATAATTGAACTCCCACAGCTAATGCAAACTTGTGTGCATAATGGTCATTACGATGACGCAATATCTATTTTTGCTTATACTAAGACGTTGTTCAGTAAATATGGGTCAAGGTACTCAGTTTTACGTATGATTTATTCACAAGTGTCTGCTGTTGCTTCACAGTTTGTTCATCAGTTGTATAACCAGTTGAGAGCACCTCTATCTCTTTCCTCGTGTATCAAGGTATGTATTCTTGCACCAATTTGTATTTTTTAAATATTGCAAATGATTCTCAATATATTCTGTATTGAAAAACTAACTGGATTATGATGTAACATGTTTATTTACATTGATCTTATAAGTCACTTGATCCCAGTTACATGAACACTTTCTGTGAATGTGGAACAATTTACTTCAGTATGTCCTGTGTTCATTAATATACATTAGAAGTGTAAATTAAGGTTGTTTTGCAATGTGAAAAAAGAGTTACATCAACCTACTACCACATATTACCCTGACATATTTTCGTCACAAATCACAGGAAACTCACTGCCATCTATATCGGTAACATAAACTGATCTTCAACCGCGTTGTACACTCATAATGTACTTTTCAGGGATTGTGTTAGTGTCCAATGTTAGGGATACTACCTAGCTGTTAAACCAAATTATGTTAGGTGGGTTTCAAACCGGAGAATTGGAAGCTGACCATTTAAACTGCTATGTTACCATTGCCCCACCTATTTCAGTATGGTTAGCCGGGTGGCATCATAATATGATGGACAAAAATTTAGGAGTGAGGCAAGATGTGACATATTTAGGATCGATTTTTTCTAACCACTACCTTCCGTTGTGAAAAGGTAGTGTCACTGTAAATGCTGGTCACCTAAGAGAAACACCCCACTGCTGTCACAACCGCGTACAGTCATCTCAACGGACCGATAACAGTGACCATCTACTGTATCGATGCTAAGACAGCAGTTTATTCTTAGTAAGCACCGAGTTCAAGCATAAAAAGAGATATCGTTTGACATGATGACCCTCGCAATCGAAGAAATGATGAACAAAAGTAGGCCATATAGTCAGCAGACATCGTTGTAGAGGCTCGATAAAACTGTCACTTATTACTGAGCACATGTCTGAACTCTGATCATGCTTTAGTACGAGCACATGTTTGTTTACCTCTTACTGGGCTCAGAAAAGCCACATGAAGTAAGTCCTTCAGAGTTCAACTCAAGGATGAAAATGTCAAGGGTATATTTCAAAAACAATTAGTCATGCAATTAGTAGTTAGTTAGCTGGCCTTCAGCTACTCTACAATTACCCACCATTCCCAGACAGCCTGAATGGAACACTGAAGTAAGTTCCCCGGCTCTAGCTGAAGTTCAAAAGGCTATAGCTAATCTGAAGCGAGGTAGAGAAGCTGGTCCAGAACGATTGACTCCAGAGGTCTTTAAGTATGGTGGTTCAATTTTAGCGATTAGGTTGACTAATATTATAGCTAAAATCTGGGAGTTGGATGTAATCCCATCTGTCTGGTCACAATCACTGATTGTCCCAATATATAAGAAGGCGTCAAAACCATCCTGTAACAACAATAGAGGGGTTAGTTTGACTAATATAGCATCTAAAATACTAGCCTCGATAATTATCGGGCGTCTAACAAAGACTCGTGAACTGCAAACACGAGAAAATTAGGCTGGCTTCAGATGTAGACGTGGCTGCATCGACCACAAATTCACCATTCGTCAGGTTCTAGAACACAGGCATACTTATCGGCGTCCGAAAATGGCGGTCTTTCTTGACTTAAAGCCAGCATCTGACTCTGTAGACCGAGAGGTTCTGTGGGAGTTTGTCATTGAAAGACGTACCTCAGAAGTACATAAACCTTGTGAAAGCTCTTTACTCGAACATCACTAGTCGATTCAGAGCTTATGACGAACTGTCATCTGATTTTGCAACCTCAAGTGGTGTCCGTCAAGACTGTGCATTTTTGTTTAGTTTCATCATAGACATACTGGTGGAAATAATGCATTCATCGACTGACTTTTCGGGCATTGATCTCCTACAAGGAGGTCCACTTATCGACTTAGAATACGCAGATGATATAGTCCTGTTTGGTGAAGACGCTGATAAAATGCAAAATCTTTTGATTTACTTACTTACTTACTTACTCCTGTTACTCCTCGTGAAGGAGCATAGGCCGCTCACCAGCATTCTCCATCCAACCCTGTCCTGGGCAATCCTTTCAAGCTCTTTCCAGTTCTTATTCATCTTTTTCATATCTGCTTCTATTTCCCGACGTAATGTGTTCTTTGGCCTTCCTCTTTTCCGCTTTCCTTTCAGGATTCCAAGTTAGCGCTTGTCTCGTAATGCAGTTTGATGATTTCCTCAATGTATGTCCTATCCATTTCCATCGTCTTTTCCTAATTTCCTCTTCAGCTGGAAGCTGGTTGGTTCGCTCCCACAAAAGGCTGTTGCTGATGGTATCCGGCCAATGGATGTTGAGTATCATGCGTAGACAGCTATTAATAAATACCTGTACCTTCTTGATGGTGGTTGTTGTAGTTCTCCAAGTTTCAGCTCCGTACAGTAGAACTGCCTTGACGTTTGTATTGAAGATTCTGAATTTGATATTGGTTGAGAGAAAGTTGTTTTGAGTTCCATATGTTCTTCAGTTGAAGCAATGCCGCTCTAGCTTTGCCAATCCTCGCCTTGACGTCTGCATCTGAACCTCCTTGTTTATCGACGATGCTTCCCAGGTATGTGAAGGATTCCACGTCTTCCAGAGTTTCGCCATCAAGAGTGATTGGATTGCTGTTCTACGTGTTGTGTTTGAGGACCTTGGTTTTCCCTTTGTGTATGTTGAGGCCTACTGATGCAGAGACTGCTGCTATGCTGGCTGTCTTTATCTGCATTTGTTCGTGTGTATGCGATAGGAGGGCTAGGTCATCTGCGAAGTCCAAGTCGTCTAATTGGTTCTGAGCTGTCCATTGTATGCCGTAGTTTCCCTCAGATGTCGAGGTCTTCATAATCCAGTCGACCACCAGAAGAAACAGGAAGGGAGAGAGTAGACAGCCTTGTCTTACTCCGGTCCTTACTTGGAATGCGTCTGTCAGCTGTCCTCCATGCACTACTTTGCACTGTAGTCCATCGTATGAGTTCCGGATAATGTTGACAATCTTCTCAGGAACTCCGTAGTGTCGAAGAAGTTTCCATAACGTTCTCCTATCTACACTGTCAAATGTCTTCTCATAATCAATGAAGTTGATGTAGAGTGACGAGTTCCACTCAATTGATTGTTCGACGATGATCCGTAGTGTCGCAATCTGGTCTGTGCACGACCGGTCCTTACGGAATCCAGCTTGTTGATCTCGAAGTTGAGCGTCAACTGCGTCTTTCATCCTGTTCAGTAACACTCTGTTGAAGACTTTACCCGGTACTGACAGTAGTGGAATGCCTCTGTAGTTTTCACAATTGCTCAGATCTCCTTTCTTTGGAATCTTGATGAGGTGTCCTTCTTTCCAATGCATCGGCACTTGTTCCTCCTCCCAAATCTTCTTGAATAGAAGATGAAGCATGCTTGTAGTTACTTCGATGTCTGACTTCAACGCTTCAGCTGGTATATTGTCAGGTCCTGCTGCTTTCCCGCTCTTGATTTGTCTGACGGCCATTCTGACTTCTGTCGTTGGTGGATTGACATTTATGGGAAGATCTGTGTGTGCTGCTTCGATGTCCGGTGGATTCATTGGAGCCGGTCTGTTCAGGAGTTCCTCGAAGTACTCTGCCCATCTGTTGCGCTGTTGTTGAATCTCAGTGATTGGTCTTCCTTCTTTGTCTTTGACTGGTCTCTCTGATTTACTGTATTTCCCTGCAAGCTTCTTCGTCGTATCGTAAAGCTGTCTCATATTTCCTTCTCTTGCAGCTTTTTCCGCCGTCGTTGCTAGTTCTTCCACGTATTTTTGCTTATCAGCTCTAATGCTCTTCTTCACTTTCTTGTTTGCTTCTATGTACTCTGCTTGTGCTTGGACTTTCTCTGCTCTTGTTCGACTGTTTTTAATTGCTGTCTTCTTGTTCTTTCTTTCTTGGATCCTGTCCAGTGTTTCTGTAGAGATCCATTCCTTGTGATGATGCTTCTTGAGCCCAGAACCTCTTGACACGTTGAAGTTAATGTTTCTTTGATACCTTTCCAGCTATCCTCCATAGTAGTTTCTTCTTCCTTCAGTAGATCCTGTAAGGCTTGGAACCTGTTGTTGAGAGCTATCTTGAATTCATTGAGTTTGTCAGTATCTCGAAGGAAGGCTGTATTGAACCTTTGTGGTGCTGTTTGTCCAGTTGTCCAGTTCTTCTTTAGCTTCAGTTTCAGTTTGGCCACAACCAGGTGATGATCTGAAGCTATGTCCGCTCCTCTCCTGGTTTTCACATCTTCCATTGTCCTTCGGAACTTTTTATTGATGCAAATGTGATCTATCTGGTTCTCTGGGGTGTGGTCCGGTGAGATCCATGTAGCTTTGTGTATACGCTTGTGTGGAAATATTGTACCGCCTATGACCAATTTACTGAATGCACACAGATTTGCAAATCTTTCCCCGTTTTCGTTTCTCTCTCCCAGTCCATGTAGTCCCATGATGTCTTCATATCCGGTGTTGTCTATTCCGACTTTGGCGTTTAGATCTCCCATCAGAATGGTGAGGTCCTTTCTTGGGCACTTCTCTATGATTGATTGCAGCCTCTCATAGAATTGATCCTTAACGTCGTCGTTGCTATCATTGGTAGGTGCATAACATTGGATAATGTTCATTGTGATCCCCTCCTTCTTTGTTTTGAATGATGCTTTGATGATTCTGGATCTGTGAGATTCCCATCCTACAAGTGCATTTCGTGCTACTTTGGATAGCATTAGAGCAACTCCCTGAGTGTGTGGAGCATTTTCCTCTTCGTGACCGGAGTATAGCAGCATCTCTCCCGTATTTAGCCTTTGTTGTCCAGCTTGGGTCCAATGGGTTTCGCTGATTATTAGTACTGCCAAGTTGTATCTCCTCATTTCCGTTGCTATTTGACTGGTCTTCCCGTTCTCCCACATTGTCCGGACGTTCCATGTACCTATAAAAATTGTTGCTCTGGTTGTTAGAAGGGGCATCAGCCTCGTGGCTTCCGAAGGAACTCGGCTTTCACCATGAAGCGTCATATTACCTCTAACTCCCAGGGCAGAGTTTAAATGGTTTGAGTTATTTTTTCTGGTTAGCGTTTTTTTAGCGAGTTAGGTTTCTACGGGATGGGGACGCTAACCCCATGCCCAACCCTCCTCCTTTACCCGGGCTTGGTACCGGCAGTAACTCTGGAAGAGCTACAGGTGGAGTTAAAATCTTTTGATAGCACTGAGCAACAATGCCAGAATGTTTGGGACGCGTTTTCCCCCCTCTAAATGCAAGTTGTTGCTCCAAGACTGTCCTGTATCAACACCTGGACTGAGGATAGGAAGTGAAGTAGTCGAACGCGTTGACAACTTCACTTATTTTGGAAGTCTGATCAGCCCAAATGAGCTAGTGTCTGACGAAATCTTCGCACGGATTTAGAAAGCTCGTTTGGCTTTTGTCAACTTATGTCACCTATGGCGAAGGCGAGGTATCCGTCTACCATTTAAGGGACACGAGTATACTGCTCAGTAGTTCGTTCTGTTTTACTTTCTGGCTGCGAAACGTGGTCACTTAGGTGGATGATATTCGTAAGTTACTAGTATTTGATCACAGATGCCTTAGAAATATTGCTCGCATCTGCTGGGATCACCGGGTAAGTAATAATGAAGTTAGACGTAGGATATTAGGGAATGATGGTAAGTCAGTTGATGAGATTGTCAATCTTCACCTACTGAGATAGTCGGGCCACATGTTACTTATGGCTGGACACCAGATGCCACGACGCGCAATGCTGACTAGTGTTGGGGATCGTTGGGAGAAAGTTAGGGGCGGCCAAACCAAAACGTGGCATCGGTGCTTGAAGTCGCTAACTTCTAGTCTTAGCCATGTTGGTAGATGCGGACTACTTGGTTGAGGTTTGCGCGACTATCGTAACCAATGGTTAGACAACTCTGCATGATATAGCTCAGAACCGATCACAATGACGTAGGTGTATACACTTATTATCTGCTCTTAAACCGTGAGATTAAAATTACTTTATATATTTCTTTGTACGAACTAATTCTTTATTCTTGTATTATATCCTTATACACAATCTTTCTTTTATATATTACTACGATTAAAGTAACTACTATGAATTTGGTGTTGACCTTGTTGTGCTAGTGAGTTGTGGCAACTTGGACCGATGCATTATTATTTATTTATTTTAACACATAGATATTGGTACAAGGAGGCACCAAATACATATGCGCCACACAGATCTCATTTGACATGTGTGATGGCTATGATACTGCTCGGGTGCCCAAACCGAAGCAGGACGGATGCATACTTGTGCCTGATCCTACGTTGTAGCTGACTGACTAGTAAAACGTTAAAGTGATGTTCACCCCAACGTGATTTGGGATGATATCCAGGCAGCTATGAAAACATTAGCGATATTCACGAGTGGCTACTACCAAAAAGTCAAGAAAATCGATGAATTTGAACATCGTCTACTGAACTGATAGGTTCTCAGAAACTAATAAGCATTCTACGCGATTATTATGAGCAGTGGTGGGAAGCTAAAGTTAAAGCAATGAAAAGACAGGGGTGATATGCATCAGTAGAAAACCTTTTAGACTTATCAAGGAAGCAAGTATAAAGAATTCCTGAGTTAGTAAGACTATTTCCGACAAAGATAAGACAGTGATCCACTCTCAATTTAGAGGTCTGAAACACCTGGTAGGACACTTTAGAGAACAGTCCAACTCATCTCTAGCTACTCTCCAGTTGTCTTTTACCTAGCGATTTGAATAAATTGTCAACATAAGCCCCCCCCCCGACTATTAATGAGGTAGGGAAAGCCATAGTTAATCTGAAGCGATGGAGGGAAGTAAATCATGATCGATTTGCCTCTGAATTCTTGAAGGATAATTTTTCAGTTTTAGTCGTTAAATTGACTGAGATCTTAGCTAGAGTCTTAGAATTGGACCTAATCTTATACATCTGGTCTTAATCACTGGTCGTTCCTATCTATAAGAACTGTCAAAATACCTCTCGTGACAATTACAGAGGGATCAGTCTGACTTATATCGTATCTAAAATATTACGCTCAATAATTATACAGTCATTAACCAAAGCTTGTAAAGAGCAAACTCTGGAAAGTCATGCTGATTTCAGACTTGGGTATTGACGTGTAGACCACATACTCGCACTTCACCAGGTTCTAGAACATATAAATGACTGCGAACTATTAACCATAGTTTTGTTTCTCGACCTTGCGACAGCGTTCAATTTCGTAAGTGGGCAGGTTTCGTGGCAGTTTCTTTCATTGAACGATGTACCGAAGAAGTGCATCTACTTTCTCACATTAATTATTCTATTAGTTTTATTATTTTGGTCAGGTAATTACTTCTCACTACTTAACACATTTACTAACAAAGCTAGTCATGAAGGGTTTATAACTTCATCTGTTGGTTTACGTTTCTGCTTATAACTTTGCATCAAATCTCAACAATACTCGTACATTTTATATGATAAAATTAGAGCTCTGAGCTGTGCAAAGTTCGTGGTGTTTCATGCTTTATGTTCTGAAGTCGTTAGTGCTTACACTCGAGGTGTTAATTAAATCTTGTTTTCTACATGAAGAAGTTCTAGTGACATTATACTTAAAATGCTTTTCGTTTCAGTTTTCCATTATTCACAACTAACATTGTTTAATTTCTAATTAAACTGAATGCATTTCGTTACAGACCGTAGTATTTCTTCGTAGAACAGGACTATTAAGTGAACAAGAACTGCGGTTGAAATTTCTGCAGACACGGACAAATTGTCTTAAGAGTCAAATCAACTCATCTTTATTGGCATGTACACCAAAGGAGTTAGCTGGAGTAGATAAGCGGGAAAAGCTGTCAGGATTTCTCCCTTTTAAAGAGTCTCATGATAAGTCGTATTGGGTGGCTACACGACGTATTGAAGTGACACGTGTACATCTATTTGACATAGTCACACAATATCGGTAAGAATAGAATCAAGTAGTTTGTATTGAAATAATTTTTTAAATATTCATAGTTTACTTGGATCAATTTATAATACAGTACCCACTGAATTTGTGTTGGAGTGATGCACAGTTTTCCTATTATTTCTTTCAAACTAAATATTACTCCATGCGCAAACTTGCATGATTAATCCTGCTAACCGGGAAGCAATTTATTAAATGAAAATAATTGAACTGATAATTCGTATAGCAGACAAAAATCCTAGTTATTTAATTCGAAATATTGCGAAACCAAAATGATGATTTATTTTTTAGGAATTTAATCGCGGTATTTTAAGTATAGGATACATTTCAGATAGCATTATTAATCAAGTATGTAAATGATGATCATTTAATGACCGATTGGGTTTCAGTTTTATCTTTTATGTCAACCTAATCGTCATTGCTTTGATTAACTGTCATCAATCGTCTTTAAACTTACCATTTCATCTTAATATACTTTAGAAATCATTCGGAGTGGTTATGTATTTTGCATCTTGTTAGTATACTTTAAAATGTACTATCAAACAAAGGTTAATCAGAAATCAAACCTAAATATTGTTGTCGCATATGCTTGATTAATAAAAGGATGGGTGCGATCTATGGAAAATTGTAATATTCACACGGTAAGCTGAAATCCCTTAAGTGTATTTGTACTGAGAAGTTTAGGTATACCAAGAATTAAGACCCTATTTTGAAATCTACTTATTCGCTTGCGAATTTGAGTGTATAATACACTTTTTCTGGACTACAGGAATCAAATAACTGTAGCACTGTGATATTTCTTCATAAACGGTAAATACTAATTCAATGTACAGCTCTTATTATTTTCTTTTTTAGAGCGGTATTTCCAGACGAAGATGGTATTCTTCCACAAGGAGTGAAAATTCAAGGAAAGTCACTACTATCCAAATACTCGGGGAATCCAGTTTACTCAATTAATTTATTAAAGGGATCTAAAAATATGGATTATTATGAATCCAGTCCAAATTTGTTACATGCTTGGTTGGTTAATCAAGTGGCAGAATTTCTTAACAATCTCTGTAGCGACCTCCAAACTATGATGTATCAACCTAAATGTACTCCACAAGAGCTGACAGATCGTCTGTTAAGAGCTACTGCAACAGACTCTAACAATTACAAAAATAAATCATTTAGAAATATTTGTTTAGAGACTCTATTCACTCAGGTGCAGTCATTAATATCACAATCAATGTACTTTGGACGATCATTTCATCGGATAGGCTGTGATTTCAGACCACATTTGGCTAACCTTTTTTGTTACCAAATTGAGTCATTTATCAAGGTTAGTTGGGTTGATACTAGGGTTACTATATTTTTACTTATGTACCGGATTTTGTTTGTATAATGATTAATATTTTTTCCTAGTTTCTTGAAATTTTTGTGGCCCGTTGATCTGACTCCAAGTTCAAAGCACGAATAAATATGCCATGAATATAAATCTTCGATTTAACTTCGTATATTACCCAGGCTAACCCCGTTTAGGTGACAGTGGTAATAAGGAGTCATATATGGGTTAAATCCGATGAATTTACTTCAAGCACTCATTTATTCAGACAGACATTGAAAATTAAAAGTGAGAAAGCTAAGTGAAGCGGGGAACGCGAGTAAGCCAACTTGTTTTAATAAAATGTGACTCAATATTTATAACCACATAAAAATAAACTACAAACACATAATGAATCGGGTAAGCAATACACACGCGCTCATATAAAAGCAGCCAAGATTATAAGCCAATAATTGACAAAGTCAAAATGTTACTCACGAAGAATAAATAATCTGATCTGTCTGGAAGCTAGAATAACTCATGTGGGCTTGACAGACACATCTTAATTTGTAGTGTCTAGTACTGAGTGAAAATGTCCCACAACCTGTGTACAGTTTATTTTAGCACTAAATGGTTTGATATAGAATATTTGTGGGTTTGTATTGGTGACCGCTTATTGAGCATACCTCCGACTGTAGTGCTACTTCGTTGTGATGGTCTGGCCTACCGGTCCTGATGGCCCAATCGAGTTATATTAGCGAGGTTATATCACATCAGGGAGGTCAGTTGGAGTGCGATAGGAATAAAAGTACCGAACCTGGTCCGATGACAACGTTGTACTGCCGACTGTAGCGGAGTGTGACGGAAGTAAAATGTTTGCCCCAGACAACTAACATCATCAGCAGTGATGCTTTCTCACAATCGAAGAAAGGATCGTGTATGGTTGACCTCACGTTATCCCACGGACTTCCGTAGGCGGCATTAAGATCTGAAACGTATGGGGCTTATGCATCAGAGACTATTCATAAAACGGTTATGTGACCTATCTTAAACAGTTGTTCCTTGGCTCTGTGATTACCCTACCGGGTCGACAAAATCATCATTAACTCAGTTTGACTCCTGAATCCTCCAAGAAGAAGTATCCTTCCACGGTGTGGAATATTTAAGAAAGATGGAATCATGATCCACTCCAAGTTCAGATTAGAACAACGTGCTGAATACTTGAAATGATAGTTCAACTGACCTCTAGCCTATTGTTCAGTTACCTACTATTTCTAAACAACCTAAATAAGAAATTGACAGAAATCCCCCAACTTTTAGTAAGACTGAAAGGACGAGAAAGGGTCAGGTCCTAATAGGCTACTTCCAGAGGTAAAATTAAGTAAAAACTAAATACGCTCAATTCATCTATGTTTTAGATATATGCCTTATCACTTCTTTAAAAATCAAATAAAATGTCAGTCGGGCAGTCACCACTTGTTATTAAAAATAGATGACTAACTTTAAATTAATAATTATAAATCAATTCTATAAAGTAAATATGCTAAGAGATATTTTCCAAAATAGAATAGTTCCATGTGTTTCTTTTTCCATTATTTTTCGTAGAATTATATTGACAATATTGTATCGGAATTTAAATTTGTACTTGCTAATTGGATTTGGCGAATTCCATCTGATGAAAATGTCCAGATTAATGGAACGACTCATGAAGAAGTAAACAAAAATGCACTGAATTCCTTTACAAAACTAACTAATATACTGCTAGAATTTCCTCCACTAATACTGCTTTACAATCATTTTGTTGAATTATTTCATGGATTAAATATCTGTTGTCCAACTGGTTTGAAAAACAGGTAAGCTGTAACTTTTTGAGGCTTTTCGAAAATTTGATTACATAGGTACAAAAACTAGACAGTCATACTGCTGTATAGAAAAGGATAGTGGATGATCAGATTGGGTTCGAAATAAATTTTTCATTAATTAGACAGGCACAGTTAAGGGCGAACTTGCATTTTCGTAGGGGAACCGAACCAGTATAGAAAGTTTAATCCTACTTTACATGTTCTCAGCTTAAGCGTACTGTATTGTAATCCCTAATCCCTTTTTAATGTCATATACAATATGAAAACTCATAGAATATCATGGAAGAGGCTTCTTATTTACAAAGTAACGACACAAAATAAACATAGTGATATATCATTAATGATTAAAAAGAATCACTTGTATAAGTCACTTACTCTAAAATCAAGTACAACCTTACCCATCATATCACGAGCCAAATAGTTATGAAATTCGGTCTCAAAGAACCTTAAGATTTTGATATCTTACTAGGAAATCTGACGTATTTCGTACTGTTGTAATGATGAAGTGACTTGTAGCATAGTGCAGTTACGTTTATGTTGTTTAATCACATGTTATTTGCTCTGTGAACGTTATTTGATTTTTGTATCTAACCAGATATAAAAATCGACATATGATTAAAAATAGCATCAATTTGCCACCACATGATGGAGGCTTAAATTACAAATGACCTTGACACGGCGATTGAAAGTCAGCAAGTAGAAAATACGTTGTGTACACTGAATAACAAACAGTATGGATTCACATTTATACTTTGTTTCGGATAATCGTTCTTTTACTCTTCCTGACTCTTTTCCTCTTAGATGACTGGACGCCAAAAATAGAAGTTCAAGAGCATGGGATTCCTCCGGAACTAAAAATTTGCTCTCCTACTTCTTTATTATTCCAGTAGAGTTAATGCAAATGAGAATGTGCAGGCTCGACCGCATCAAAAGCAATATTTATCAGTCCTATCTATACTACTTAATAAGTAGGATAATTAATCAAGTAAAAATTAAAACTAATCCTCTAAAGGACTGGTTCACAACAGACGATATTATCAGACATTGACAATTTATTAGTCACATTATCAAATTATAACATTTAGGTGAAGTAACTTTTTAAAGATTTTCTTATTTAATAAAGGTAGTTTTCATCACGAACTGACTCTAGTTGAAGAACCATTGAAAAGCTAAGTACAGGCATTCATCTGAATATGGGACTTTTTAGTAGTGTATCACAATCCTTACATAAAACGGAACTTTGTATAGTAATTGTATGTTGTATCCTGAAAAGAAACGAACAATTTTGTTTTTTCCACGCGTGATCATGTTGCTTATCATTAGAGCACATAACTATCGTGTCCACTTATAGACTATTTCGCATGTATCACTTGTTGGATCAATGACATAATCTACCATTATTATTATTAACCAATGAACAACGACCGGGACCTTAACAATTATTTGTCCCTGAGTTCCTTCTAAGTTAGTGTCCAATAAGAAGTTGAAGTTTGCAATGAGATATCTCTATTGTGTAACGTTTTGTTATATTACTCAAGTCATATGATAATATAAACCGATTTCTTGACTGTTAATCAACATAGGAAAATTAACTAAAATTAGTATATCATTAATATCGGAGATCTGCACATAACTAAAACATAAGTGAAACACGAACTAAGTGATAATTCTGTGATTAATAAACAATAGCTTAAATAAGATAAAGCTACAACATTAGTTTATAGGTTAAACAAAAAACTACATTTAAGAGAACAACAATTTAATAATTCAAATTGTCTGCTAATTATACAATACAAATATCAACAAGGATTATTCATAAGATAGTTCTGAAAATTAGAGCTTTCTTAATATTTGTCCTGTGTCATAATAACGTGCTACTTACTTCCAAGCGATTTACCGTTATTTCCAGGAAATTTGTGACATAATTAATTACCTTTTATTTTATTCGATGTGTTGTATAATGAATAGATTCTAATTGAATTCTAATCTCCCAATTCTGAAGAATTCTTGAAATATACATTTCAAGATTTCCATGTAGTTGCAAATGATTGAGACTCGTTCAATTAAATTTATTTTTGTTATACATCTGCCCCCAAATGCCCTGGCTCGTCCGAGGGTGGGGAGAGTCCGCTCTCTCTCTCAAAATGCTCTCACATGGCCACGTGTATATAGTCACTGTCAGGGAAGTCCTACTTACTGCGTTCTCGTGGCGGGATATGGAGGACCCACCTAGGGGAGTTGGAAAAACCTGATTCCAAACCAATGGTATACATGCGCTCCAGGGTCCTAAAGAAACAAATGATGTACGAACTAATCGTTGGTTACCGGCTACCATGGGACTACATCTCCTAACGTTGCTTCACTGCCTTGTGTATCAAACCTTTATGTCGAAGGCTCCGGGTGTGGCCCTTTAAGAAAACCACCTGCTTCGGTCTGGGCACCCGGATAGTATTTCAGCCCACTCTCAACTCAAGTGACTTGTGTGGCGCATATGTATTCGGTGCCAACTTGTACTAATATTTATGCGTTCAAATAAATAAATAAAATACATCTGTAGTTAACTGAAAGCAGAAAATATGTATATATCTGTTGAGATTCATTAAACTAATTAACTGAGCTACAATTTTCTTGTACCAATCATTTGAAATTCAATTAATCATTTAATATTATTTATTATCATTTAAATGATTAAAAGAAAAAAAGTGAAATAGAAAACAATTTCTTACTTAATTATCATTATTGTTATTGTTATTTTTTAATATTTTTAGAATTATTATTATTGTATCAAATGGTTTACATGCTTGTTCATTATCTATAACAGAAATTTATGATAATTTAAAAGAACAACAAACTGATAATTGGTTAAATAATGATGTTTATGGTTTAGCTAATGCATTTTGTACATCATTAACTTATTGTATTTTGGCAAATTTAATTAATTATTTATTTGTTGAAGAGATTGATAACGATGTTCAAATACCAAATTGTAATAATAATGATAATAATAATCCTATGTTATTACATCGTCCACTTTTATCAAGTTTATGTCAAATAATTTGTACACCTATTTATATAAAATGGTCAAATTTACAACCATCAATATCATCAATTAAACCTGCATTATTAATTAATAGTTCCGATAATAATCTTAATCTTATTTCATTAACAAATACTGAAAAGGAAACAATAGATTCTTTTGTGAATAGTACTTCAAATGTTGTTACAATGTCATTAGGTAAACAAGTCAGTGTAAGTGATACATCCGATGATCATATTGAAATTGATACAATGAATAGTTTATCTTAGTGTGTATAATACTTATTCTTTTTATTTTATTACATTCTACTGTTGTTATTTGTATACACGACTTCATTTATTTTTGTATATTTCAAATTATTCTTATCTGTATTCATTTTACGTTCAATTTTTTTTATGAGTTCGTTGTTTTGGATTGTATTAGCTGTGATAATAAATAATACAAACAGTTATAGTAATAATTGTTTATATATATATATATATATATATATATATATATATAGTGATTTTAGGAACTCATTTGTTGCAATACATTTAAAAAACTTCAACATAGAGTACAGAGCATTCGGTCACTGGATTTCACTGCAATAAGACCCATGATGTTATTGTCAGGGTGAGCAGTTTTCTTATGAGCTATCTTGACTGCTTTCGATGGAACTCCCATTTCCTGATTAATAATACGTCACTCTGGTTTTGCAATGTTGCAGTTGTATATTCAAATGTTACACAGCATTATTTACTATATGTATAAGTCTAGTTATTGATATAAATAGCGAATCAGAAATGGGGAAAATCATAAGTGCGTGCGATTGGTCAAGTGATGAGACATGTACAGTTGTCTCTTAAATTGGTCCAGTCTATATGAACTTTCTTGCACTATCTTATCTTAAGTAGCCAGTTTTGTGTGTAGGAAGAATGCGTATCAGTATCAGTCCTAATAAACTGCGTCACAAAAATTACCTTGAAAAGTTCATAACCGAAAGAACTATATAGATGTTATACGTAATGAAATACTATATTGTAGAGAACGATTAACTGTACATTATACTATTTGATCAAGATGTTTAAATCAATGTTTTTATAGCTATAATTACATTCCATTTTATAAAATAAAAACTACCATTTTCCTCTTTGTTATGAAAATAAACAAAGAGAGGTAGGCAATAAATTGAGACTAATTATAAATGCAATGTAAGGTAATTAGGGATAATAACACAGATTACTACTGTAATTATTATATTATTTAAAAATCTCAAACAATATGAATTAATATTGTGTGTTTAATAGGAAAAGATTAAGAAACTTGAAAAAAAGACAAACCAGAACCACACAGAAAACATAAAAATGTTACTGACAATTGCATGTACGTAAATTCCTTTTAAGTGAGTATTCTTTTACATTAATTCAACGTATGTATACACTTTGTTTAATATAGAAGAGAGGTAAACAATATCAATAAGAAATCATACTGGTAAAGATATATATAATTTGTTTGTTTTTTCAAAGGAAATATTTTCATCTACTCAGTTCTACTGGAGATTAGAAAAAGTCAACTTAATGTAGATAAAAAAACAAGCAAAATTTCTTGTAAAACAAAATTATATACAGTAATAGGTGTTAGTAGTTATACAATTGGAGTAAACATAATAATAATAATTATCATTATTATGAAAAACAATCAAAGGAGCAAAACATGCATTTGTTTTTCTGAATAATATTTATAACTTTTTTTTAAATTAATAAACTTTCGTTAAACTGTACATTACTATTAGTATGAGAGAAACATTATACACAAAATGAAATGCTGAATAAAGGGAAAAATTATTCCACAATATTATGATATAGAAATAATGATTAGAAAATTTCTTTTTATATGAATCATTGAAATGATTATTATATTTAAGATGAATAAATATCAATTAATTGAGATATTTGATTAAGTTCAGTGTTCAATTTCTTTTCTAATGATAACAAATTGCTATATAGATCAAAAATAAGAAGAGAATATATAAAGTAATACAATTAGTATATTATTATATAACTCAAATAAACATAACAAAATCTAATATTATAATTCGACTATGATTGATAGAAGATAATCCTTCGTTTAATGGATTGATAATTAGAAATACAAATAAGAATGATTTATTTGTGAATAAGTCGAAGTCGAATCTCATGTTCGACGATATTTTCCACTAAATATTTATATCATAAGTATGTAAATAGAACCATTTTACCATTTGGTTGTATCCAAGCTACCTTCTTCAAGTCAGTGATGTATGAAATCTATCTATCTAGTTGATCAACGTTGTTTATAAATAATTTGCATCCAAAAGAAATATGTTCGGCCACTTCTTTTACCCTGGCCAACTAGTTAATAGTCAATTTTATAATATGGTGATGTAATTTGATTAATGTTCATTTTATATCCCAAATTTATTATTATTATCTTTACCACCGTTATTACCATCTTTTTCATTGTTATTGTCAGTACACTTGATAACCTTTTTGAGGAATTTATCCACCCCTAAACCTACCATATCTGACCTAATTCATATTATTCTACATACTACGTAATTTCTGATTTTTATTCCATTATTTTCTCTCTCACCCCAAGTTGACCATACTTATTCTGACCATTTATCTCACAATTTCATTTCACTTATAAAGTTAACACTTTATATTAGTCAGCCCCTGCAATAACGATCTGAATTGATTTTACATAACAAACAACAATTCTTAATTTACATATTACAATTTCCAAATGATGTACTCTGCCTTAAATCTGGCCAATTTTATGGATAATTAATTTGGATTTATAATTCTAGAACCTGATGAAAAATTATTGAAAAGAATATTCTTCGTTCATACAATTGTGCTATAAATAATTGTTCAGATTTGGTTCTAAAATGTAAGAAGTCCCGTCATCTGTGCTTGTGATTATTGAATGAGAAGTATGGAAAAGCATCGAACTCAAAATACGGATGGAAGAATGTATATATTCACACTACCGTGACCGCTTTTAAGACGTTAGTTCTCCAACTATCAATTGCAATGATCTCACGGACCGCAATTAGGGAGCGTGTATTTACTGTTATGGCCCAGCTTAACAGTCAGTGAATTAATAAACTGTTACCATTTGTTGATTTACTCATCATTAGCTTCTCTAAATTAAACTTATACTACTTAGGAAAATGCGTCGTGGTAAGCAGTAACTAAGTGTGCATAACATGTATCCCAACCAACTTGATCGACATTAGTTTACAATCTTGCCATCCGATTTACTGTCTCTGATTGGCACTTAAACTATTTCACAGTGTGTCCTGCCTATAGCTCTATTCTCTTGATCATCATAGTAAATAAACGTTCTGCTGTTATCAGAATGTTTTTCTAGCTGTTGAACTTTTAAGCCCAAATAACTTAGTGAAGGTGGATGGATCCAAATAAAAGACAATTAACTATGTGATCACAATAACTGTTACCTGATACAAAGAAAGAATTTTGAGAGAAATAACATGCTCAGATATGATAACTTACTTTTCCATTGAACTAAGACGTGTTAACAAATTTACAATGATATCGGATGAACTAATTCTACCCAAACTTTGATTTTCAACAGGATTTGAACCTTCACCTAGAGTTGAGAAAGTCAATGTTAAACATATGTTTTCTATGGAACTTAAAATATAGGTTATATGTTTCAAATTTTATGAATATAAAATACATAAATCCAATACAAAGTATCATAATGAACTGGAAAACAATCTCTAGTGTTTATCACGGCCTAATACCACTACTTGTGAGATACACAAGAAAAGCAGTACTTTAATTTACTGGTGTAATTTATTTTCCTACTTGACTGCATGTAATATGTCTTTATCGAATCCTATCCCACAGTGTATTTGAAAGCAGTTTTTTACATGCATTATCAAAGGATATTCGCATGTAGTTTATGACGCAAATTCAAGATAAAGTCTTGTAGTTTTCATATGATATTATCTGTAAAATCTAAACATATCTGCTTTAGATTCATTGATATGATTTAAAAGCGACTACCATATTAGCGAATGTACTCATTCTTTATATTAGACCTCAAGTATCTTATCGTTTGATACCTATATTAGCTGTTCTATTCAATTCGAAATCTCTTGTTTACATGTCCTGATATAAGCGCTTGACTTCCAACGATTATATTGAAGCTTCGAATTCAAAATTTTAGTTTAAACAACCAGGGAGTAAGATAATCAGTAGTTAGAAAGATTTCATCCCAATCATTGAATACATTTAATGATCATACTGTCTTATGATTGACAAATACATGATTACATCTGCTTTTTATCATCAACATCTTGTTTAGTGTTTCTCTTACCAACCAGATTAGTTTAAAAAATGATTGTAGGGCAGAATTACTAAATCAAGTGGGGTTAAACAAAATATATCATTGTCAGAAAACGTCTGATATGTGAACAGACTGTTTGACACTCGATTTGGAGTAAAAAACATTGCTGTAATAGCCGGTGGGAAGCTGCATGTTTTAAATTCTTTTAAGCTAGATAGTTCGAGTAAATTGATTAAAATCAAAACTGTTAATTGCTCCAGTTTGAAGAAAAAACTCATGTTTTCGCTTGATGTTAGATCTCTATTCACTAGCGTACCGTTAACTGAAATTATATACTACATCTTTGAGTGTAGGCTTGCCGAATAACTACTTAAAAGAGCTAGTCATGTTGCACCTTTAATGTTAAGTTCAGTTTCAACAGTGAAATATATGCGATTAGTGTTCACCAGTAAGAATTTTGATTTTTGTATTCTTAAAGGATAAGCTTTCTCGTCTATGTGCATTTACCAGTTTACCTGCTCCTGTAGAGCAAAGTACATAGGCCGTAACCAGTGCTTAATTTCAAGTCGGATACGAGATGTACCAGTGTGATTCTACAGGGGTACGAGGAAAGCAGTGAGTTCTGTTCTTGAGCATTTAATCGATTATAGTTAGTTCACCGATCCAAAGATTATTTATATAATCGATCCATATCTACCAATATTTCTTGGTATTTAAAATCTTAAAACAGTAGAAGTTCTTTCCATCCATGAAACGTAGCCGGAACTTTATGTATAAACGAAGTACCTTTTATCTTTTTCATTTCATGATCATAAAATGTTATTTTATTACTATTATTGTTATTATCTTATTTAGCATTTGATGATATATTTCTGTTTTTAATTATTTTTTATATCCTCATGATTTTATTCATAATTGTTTTTCATATCATCTCACTTTATTTAACCCCTATTATATCTTAAATTATTGGGACGAAAACGTTTTAATTATCTTCCTTCATTCACACAAGAAAAACCCTTGTTAACTTATTAATTTTTACACGGCTTTTATTATTTTCACTATATAATCTACTATCATAATCTTTCTTTTACAATATCTGTTTATTCATTGTTCATAT